AATGTCAGCCCACCGTACCGACTTTTTTGTTCGTTTTCGATTAGAAGTATCTAAATGGGAAAATCATAGATGAAGTATGACTTCATACGAAAATAATTTGCATACATCAACAGAGTATAGAAAATGCCTCAAGTTACAACGGGTTTTCGTCTCATGGGTAAAAATACTCTAGTAAAAATAGACAACCAATTGTGAGGTAAAGCTAAGTTGTCAGACTGAAGTCTTCTGCTGCACACTATTGGTGTAGGCGACGTTTTCGCCTAAATATGCATCGTAAGTTTGTGGCTTCAATGAGACAACATTTCATGCTGCTATGACCTAAAGATCCATCAAATTGTGATTCCCCTCAAAACATCCAACTACACAAATTAGTGGGTCATGCTTTTAGTTCCAATTTACACCCATTTAGACTTAGATAACCACCACTCAGACAAACACACACACACACCAGGAATGCACCTCACGACCTCGTTTCTCCGATATAGCATCAATTACATAGGAAAGGCGACAGTGACTACTTTCCAGGGAAATGCAAAACCATCACAGTATTCATAAGAAGTGTCTCTCCCTAGTATTCATGATCAGTCCCTTAACTGATTTCATAGAAAGATCAAAATGCTGTTGTGATTTCTGCGAAGTCTTGCAAATATTCCAATCAAAACTGTCTCCTAGTCTACGAAATTCACCCAAGAGAATGATAACTCACATTCTTGAAAATTCACATCTTTCTGTAGAAAGCTTACAGCAAATCTAAACTTATTCTAACCTATTCTGTGATAATGCTTTTTTATGGTAAATAGCCATTTCATCTACCCACTATGTTCTGAAATAACGCTGGTCGTGCTTAAAAAAAGAGCTGGGTGCTTAATTAATGCAACAAAATCTTAAAAATAAGATCATCATCTGAAATAATGCCTTTAGTGCTGAAAATTAGCGCTGCATGCTTAACTGCTGCGGTTAATACTCAAAAATAGTACTCCACCTGTACATAGTATATTGAAACCAACCAATCAGCAAAGAGTAGGTTTCACACAGATTACGTAGTGTAACGGCTACAGACTTGTCTGCGAATTACATATGTGATTGATCTATTTGACCAGAGGTGTGACAGTAAATAAGAATACAACGAAAACATTATTCAACAGGAGGGTAGGGGAAGGTGAATTGGTCGCATGAATGTTAGCGAATTTGAGACGAGGTCAAAAATGAAAAAAATTTATAAACCAGAGAAGTCAGGTTTATAAATATTTTTCATTTTATATCGTACATCATAAGTCTGATGTCTGTTCTACGATTGTCAAAATTATTAATGTAAAAAATTTTTGGGCCATATTGAATTCTATCTTACCAAATTTCACACCATGTTATGTAGCATTTTATATCCACCTACTAATCCTACAATTCTGCACCCCTTTCCAACATCTATACACCTCAGGTATTATTCTGTATCTGACACTGATTATTATATAATAATAATGGTGTGAATACATAACATATGTTATGTATTCACACCTTTGACCTAATTCCCTCACAGGTTTATTTCTTAAAAAACCATATATATACGTTTGTAAACCTTGATAATAAATTCGTTGAAAATAGTCTCTCCGCGAAATATTGCATATATGAAACACAAAAATTTACAACGAATTGAAGGTGTGGGGAGGGTGAAAACTCAAATCCCACAGATAAAAAAGGATACCTGTCATAAGCGAAAGTTCAATTGTTTCGATTGCTGAATACTGTCTACGAGTTCATATATTTAAACCTTGGGAATCCAAATGAAACAAGGGGTGACAGATTGTGTTGATTCACATATGAAACATATACTTGCTGTAAGGAAAATGTTAACAATTGTGATTACAATTTAATTGGTGGACTGTGATTACAGTTTACATGTCATCCCTTTTCATATTTAACAGACTGATATTTGCCTAGAAGTATATAAGCAGTACTCCTCACATACAAAGACCATTCTTACAGGATTTATAAATCATGCAGGTGAGTTAGATTTTGGGTGCATATTTGTCCATTTCTATTATAAGGAAAACAACTCAGATAATGTGTTAAATACGGGTATTCAACATTCTGCAACAAGTCGTAAGAGAAGAATATCTTCTGGCAGACTGCATGAATGCTTTGGATACAGCTACTCAACATTTTATCGCCGTCAAAAACGGTTACGTGATGCAGCATTCAGTGACTGGGACTTCTGGAAACGTTACTGCTCATCCAGAGAAGAGGTGGCAAGGGATAATACAGTAACTTTGCCTTCAAGTTCAACTGTACAGGGAACAGTGGGTTTACCTAGTACTAGTGAGACCGTCGCTGTTGTTTGACAAACTGAAGAGAATCGTAACATTTATTATTATGTAATAATTAATTTCAATAGAACTTCAGGTTGTTCCTGAAAAGATGACACAAAAAGAGCTGGTCAGAATTTGGTAAGTTGGCATATTTCATTATCACCCTTCTAGATACGTATGAGAATTGTAAAAAGGGTGTGGAGCTTTTGACAAACAATGATCAAGACACCAAGAAGGTAGGCATGGACGATGATACGTTGCCAATGCCTAGTAATAGACCTAAAAGGTAGGTACCGTTACCTGTGTAACACATTTTTCAGGGATGCCAAGAAAACTGAGAAGAATTTCCTTTACAACTCTATGGATATTGATGTAGCCGCCAGTGAGGTTGGTTGCATAAAACCACAATATCCAGAGTATAATATATTGGATGACTTCGTGGCCCCAAATCCAAGGTTTTAACCTATTTGAAAGCCCTTCATTTTCAGTACTTCCAGTGCTCCCATATTTCATTCATCTCCTATTGGCAAAAAGTCATATGTGTGTGACCGGTAGGAAAAAATTGTTACAATTTTTATTTATGCTTTAGATTGCCGTCTAACGAAGATGCTACTGAATCCACAAATAAGAAATTACTCGGTAATTACTTAAAAATAATTATTTATTTAAAGATACAAATATGGAAATCATTAACCTGTGCACGAAAATATTGAACATTTTGACTACTGACAGAAAATCTCGACAGCAAACGGTGACTTAACACTGGAGTTTCCGCTCGAGAATGAAGACCAGTTAGAGATGCTGGAAGCATCTTTAAGAGACGAAAAGTACAAACAGCAATATGTGAGTTGACATATTTAATTCTTATTTCTTGTAGACTGCTAAGATGGCTAGCTGCCTTCAGAGTGATCCAAAGTTATCACTTAAGGTCATGATGCACCATGTTATAAAACCTGAAGTGGGTTTGAAGTTTACATTTCAGGGGACTTTGACAAAGTCAAGCATTGTGCCTTATGCCTTTTATAAAATAATGAGATGTAAGTTTCATTAATGAAGTAAATAGTTCTCTAGCTTTAATTATGTCGCACTTCTCCGGCCAACTAATGACGACGGGAGAGATTGGTTACATGATGGATAGGGCCACGAAATCATACTTTCATAATTTGAAAGATCGTGTCCAAAGACGTAAGCGGAAGCAAGGAATTCAGGTAATATTGCGAAACGCCTGCTTACTTTTATAAGTGAACGTTTATTCAACATGTAGTAATCACAACATTGTTTTAATTTTTAGGTAAATGAAAAAGATACCGGGGGATATAACAGTGGCACTTATGTAAGTAAACGTTTATAAATGTAAATGCTCAGAATGTGCTCAGCACAATTTTTCACCCACTAATATTTTATTTTGCATATTTGCAGGATGCTACCAGTGGATCGCAATTGACGGGATTGCAGTGACATTGTACTACAGTTTATAAATACAAAAGTCTCTTAATTGTAAAAACTGATTTCTCTCTGAATTGCGCGGGCGTAGGACACAGGTGATGATAATAAGTAGAAGTCTTTTCGTTCTAAGGTAAAGCGAGTAAGTGCTGAATACGGTCTGCGAAGGCTTGAAGTAGGCTGAAAAAATTTCCACTATGTGCTGAATTAAGTCTTTTCGTTCTAAAGTAATGCGAGTCAGTGCTTAATACGATCTGCGGAGGCTTGAAGTAGGCTGAAAAAATTTCCACTATGTGCTGAATTAAGTCTTTTCGTTCTAAAGTAATGCGAGTCAGTGCTTAATACGATCTGCAGAGGCTTGAAGTAGGCTGAAAAAATTTCCACTATGTGCTGAATTAAGTCTTTTCGTTCTAAAGTAATGCGAGTCAGTGCTTAATACGATCTGCGGAGGCTTGAAGTAGGCTGAAAAAATTTCCACTATGTGCTGAATTAAGTCTTTTCGTTCTAAAGTAATGCGAGTCAGTGCTTAATACGATCTGCAGAGGCTTGAAGTAGGCTGAAAAAATTTCCACTATGTGCTGAATTAAGTCTTTTCGTTCTAAAGTAATGCGAGTCAGTGCTTAATACGATCTGCAGGGGCTTGAAGTAGGCTGAAAAAATTTCCACTATGTGCTGAATTAAGTCTTTTCGTTCTAAAGTAGTGCGAATCAGTGCTGAAAATGATCTGAAAGGGCTGAAATAAAGCTAATAAGCAAACCCAGTAGGTTCTGATCTACTTTTGACAATGCTAAAAAAAAGAATACGGTACTGAATTAGCGCTAGTCATGCTGAAAACTAGCACTGAGTTCTAGTCTGTGCCATTAAACAATTCACTTCAGAACAAATTCAGAATTTACTCACTATAGGATGCTAGAATTATTTCAGAATTACTGAGATTTAATTCAGAATTGTAGTAAGCTTGAACGTCATATATATGTACATACTTATATCCCTTGAAGAATCGTTGACGTTTTGTCACATAAATACAAAAATTATAACTGGAATGTTAGTTGTAAAATTGGACTGCTAGCTTACCTACAACTGAAGATTCGGGTGTAGCTGTATTGCTTCGAGGAGCAACACGAGGAAACTCCAAATCTTTCAAGGAATCAAACTCTTCGGATAGGCTGAATTCCCTCATTTTACCTTGAAAAGAGTTAACTTCACATTCATGCTTCACAGAAACGTTTCAATATTTTAAGAAATAGAAATTACCAGTTCTTCCATATTGTATATTGTATCCAGCTTTTTCCAAATAATATCAGGAGTGACTGGTTCACGAAGAACTGAATTCAGAAAATTGCACAAGCACATCATCTGGAAGTGACGGAATACACCAACGGGTTTGTGCTTGATTAATCCTCGGAAAAGTTGAATTTCCGACACACGGCTCCATTCATATGAATCAGTCTTATCAACAGCCATGTGTATTTAATTCTAGGGCACTGAAAATCCAATAATCAAAATTAAAAGTAGGCCAAGGTGACTCTAAAGAATAGCGGCCCAAACCAAAACGACCTTCGAAAAAAAGTGACCTTGAGCAAGGAATCAGCTGACTGTATCATTTTATTTTTTTATTTTATTTTTATTTTTGATTACAGCTTGATTCCACACCGTATTTTTAGTACAAGTGTGGAATTTTCAGCGTGGATATCGGTAGCCCAAAATTCGCAGGCCGACCATAAATATCATGGATGTTTTCGATTACTGTTTGGATAACGGACTCATAGCTTTGTCGAAAATTTGCCAGTGCGGAGGAGTTATGCATATACAAATATAAGCAGAGGCCATCGATGGCTTTGTATACAGATGTATTGAGTGCCGAAGGAGGAAATCGGTTCGAGATGGTTTGTCGTTGTTTTTTAGTTTACAGATCCCTTAGGAACTTTTTTCTCTAGGTCTAAACTACCGTTAACGAAAATCTTAATGATATGTAACTTCTGGGTCCTCAAAAGACCAGTTACAGCTACGGCTTACGAAACAGAAAATTCAGAGGTGTCGGCAGTGCAGTGGTACAATTACTGCAGAGATGTTTCCTCGTGGAAAATGAACAGTCTGACTCAAGTTCTTGGAGGAGTCGGTGTAATCGTACATATTGATGAAACTGTATTGATAAAAAGGAAATATAACCGGGGGAGATTACAATCCAACCAGCAGTGGATATTGGGTATATACGACACAACATTACGAAAAGGGCATATAGAGGCGATTCCAAATCGCAGTGCAGGTGTATTATTGCCTATTATTCAGCGTTTGGTGCTGCCTGGGACGACTATTCACACAGATGAATGGAGTGCCTACCGTCAATTATCCAATCATGGGTATATTCATCATGTCGTCAATCACACGGAGGGTTTCAGGAATCCTGTGGATGGAACGCACACTAATTCCATCGAAAGTTTATGGAGTCGTCTGAAAAGACGGATAAGAGCTGTTAATGGATCAAGAAATCCAATGATTTACAGTTATCTAGATGAATTTATGTATAGAAACTGGTTTAATATGACAATGAAGACTCCTATGAGAAACTGGGAGGTTTTTTTGCAACATATACGCGAACGTTATCCTTTGTAACTATTTATTATGACTGCATTACTTATATATAAACCGTTTTTTACAATTATGCGCCTTTCATTTTGAGCCTTCTCATTGGTCGAAGTTGTCCCTGTCAAGGTCATTTTTGCGTTGAAAGGTCGTTTCGGTTTGGGCCGCTATTCTTTAGAGTCACCGTAGGCCAATTATAAGAGGCTTATATAAGATATATCACAGAAATATCTCTGTCTTGGCTGACCTGTCCGTGGCAATGGATAAAGGCACACACGACCATAAGGAGAGGCTGAGCACTTTAAGGTCACGTTGGCGTATTGTGATTGGTAAATTTTGCTTTGCGTAAACACTGCGGCTAATACATAACACACGTTACGTAGGCGGGCTTTGAAATGAAAGTAATAAAAGTCGCATAAAAATTACATTTTTTCAGCTTCAGGAGACAAGTTAACACATGTATAAATTTTACAGATGTGATATGCATGTGGACCCACTAAAAAAAGAATATGGTTGAGTAACTTGACCATATAAGTATAAAGTTTGAAGATTTAGTCTTCCTCAGTTGATTGTAACGGACAGAGAGAAGAGGCAGCTGTGAAATATTTGCATTTTGCAAAAGACAAACTTTAAAAGATAAATAGGAAGTTTTGGGATTCTTCAAGTCTATTATGGAATACATGTACTAAACTTATCGATTCCACTATTGTTCCCTTCCTTGTTCACATATTCATTGTTCACCTGAGGTAAGATTAACTCATCTGATATGTATACGTCCTTAGGTAGTTCTCAGTGCGGCTGGAGGTGGTCGAAGGAATACAATCTTGATCTTTGCATGGAAAGATCATAACCAGTTTCTTCTGAAGGATCGGGTGCTGCTGAAAGCCGTGTCACAGTCGTCTGAGGGAATTTGATCCACTTATTGTGGATAAAACGAATAGTGGACTTCAATTTGACTATAATGTAGCCATAAAAAACTATAACCGTGATTTTTTCACGGGATTGTTTTAAATCCTTTTTAATGTGAATGTGTACGATTTGACCTTTGTTATTTTGTAAATATATGCATTTATGTCGAATACCTGTATTTCTCCTAATAATCATTTCGAGGACATTGCATAGTTAACGATTAACATCGAATGACCTTGGCGGCCTGTTTGAATATTTTTGGGCTACCACATTCCATGTACATTTTGCATCTATTTACTCGTATTTTATTGGTATTTACATATCACATTATGCATTCTAATCGTATTATCTACTCCCGGGATTTTATAAAACGTTTTAAACCCAAAAACTTTCATATTTGCAATAAACTCAAGAAAAAGCACCATGGAGGTTGGCAGCGTGCCTTAAAATCTACACCCATACATCACACCACTGTTCCAGTTATCATTAGTACCAACTGCCGGTCCCTGCCTAACAAAATTCTGGATTTTCAGTCTCTGTTGTCTTCTAGTACCTACCACAATACTGGTATTGTCACTCTGCAAGAAACCTGGCTCCATGACTCATACGATGACAATATTGTGTCTCTAAACAATTTCAATGTTTTTCGACAAGACCGTATTTGTTCCAAGAAAAAGTGTGGTGGAGGTGTTGCAACTTTTATTCACTCAAAATGGTCCATTTCAAACAAAGTTTGTTTCAAATTCTCGAATGACTTCATTGATTGCATCACTGTGAGATGTCGCCCGAAACACATTTCAAAATACAAATTCATTTATATTTCTAATGTTTATGTCTCTCCTGGCTGTACCATATTGGATTTATCTATGTTCGCCGATGAATTCACCGCTTTTGCTGCAGCTTGTTTCGAGAACTCTTTATCAATAGTAACTGGCGACTTCAATGCTAGCGATTGCTCCTTCCTTATATCACTTGGTCATGACAATATTGTCAACTTTGCCACCCGTCTTGGTAAAACACTGGACCTGGTATTTATCAATGATGTTGGTATATATGAAGCTCGCAAACGTGCTCCTCTACTTAATTCTGACCACTGCATCATACGTGTGCTGCCTAAAATATATTCCAAATCACACAAAGGTGTCCTCTCTCACCTCTACAGTAAAGTTCAACGGAGATGCTACTCAAAAGACAACCTAGACAAGCTCAGATGCATGTTGAAAGACACTAACTGGGACTTATTTACAGAACAAACATTAGATGAAACAATCACAAACACTACCGATTATCTTAAATTCTGTTTCGAAATATGTTGTCCTAAAGAAACATTATTCATCCGATTTGATCGCTTATCTTCGCCATATCTCAAAAAGCTACGTAGAAATAAAGAACTGTTGTTCAAAACTAATGATAAGCCTGGTGTAAAAAAGTTAAACATGCTGATAAAACTGGAAATAAAAAGACTAAGTGTTTTATATAATCAAAGATTTTTGTCATGTAAAACCCCTTCTAATTTATGGAAACTTTTCAAAGAAATTACTAACGGTAAGCGATGTATTTCTGTTCCATCTCTTAATGTTGACACTCTTAATAAATCTTTCATACGCTCTTCTGTTGATACCCTTCCAAATGATACAAATCATATTGACAATAACTTTAGTGGTTTTAATACCCTTGATGTGCTTAAATGTCTCCGGTCTCTTAAGCCTTCTCAAAGCCTTGGTCCTGACGGCATACCTGCCATTGTCCTCAGGAATTGTGCTGATATTTTGTGTTATCCTCTTACTAACATTTTTAATGCCTCTTTTTCCGGTAACGTTCTACCTTTTGCATGGAAAAACATTAAAATTATCCCTATACCAAAACCATCTTCTGGTTCTGATATTAAATTTCGGCCTATTGCAATTACTTCCCCCTTTTTAAAATTGATGGAAAAATTACTTTTACTTCGTCTTGAACCCGCTTTGAAACCTTTTAATGATCCTAAACAATTTGCATACAAACATGGTAGAAGTACCTTGGATGCTGCGGTTGTCTTATATCACAATGTTGTCTCTTGTTTAGACAAAGGTGCTAAATATGTTCGTAGTGCTTTCTTAGACTACACATCTGCTTTTGACTCTGTACCTAGGGGCCTTTTATTAAATAAGCTATCATTGACACAAACAGGATCCTGGGCTAAGAGTTGGTTGCATTCCTATTTTTCTGATAGAATGCAGTATACTGTATATAACGGCAAATCTTCTTCTACCTCGCTTACAAAATCCGGTGTTCCACAAGGTGCTGTCCTCTCTCCTTTTCTTTTTTCTTTCTTCCTACATGACCTGCCTCATTCAAACGAAACTAACTTTGTCAAATATGCAGATGATCTGACTGTATCACTGCCTATCACTTCCGAGTCTGACAGCTCCAAACTTAATAGCTTTCTGTTGGACATCAACAACTGGTCCAAGTCAAATGGTCTTATATTAAATCCTTCCAAATGTCAGGTGCTTGACTTTACTTTCAAGCATCGACGTGACTTACTTGAACTAGTTAACTCTCATGATCCCTGTAGCATAGATGGCACGGAAATTGAAACCAAATCAAGTATTAAATACCTTGGACTAGTTTTTTCCTCTGACCTTTCATGGTCATCCCATATCTTATCTATCTCTAAGAAAATGTTTCGTCTTACCTTCTACATTAAAAAGTTAAGACAATCAGGTATCAACCAACCTTTAGTTTTGCAATTTTTAAACTCCTGTATTTTACCTATTGTACTCTACTGCTCTCCATTAATCTTTCCTGGGCTGCTCAAAAAAGATTATATCATATTACGAAGAGTATTAAATGCTGTGAGTAGAGCTTGTGGTCTGCCACTGCATGAGCTCGCTAATACTATAGTCGAGAGGCATATAAATTCCTGTACGAAATGGGCAAAGGCTATAATGTCAGACCCTCTGCACCCCCTTTATTCACACCTGTCCCCT